ATTCTTAACAAACTCTCTAAGTTACAAAGAAGAGCAGCTCGGGTTATCACAGGACAATCATACGATGTTCGTTCCACTCAAATACTAGAAAGTCTCAATTGGATGCCAATTGAAGACATTTTAAAGAAAAGAGAAATCATTATGACGGTTAAAGCTTTAACTAACAGACTACCTGATTATGTGCAGAATTTCTTCACGAGATGCGAAAATAGTAATTATTCTCTAAGAAGCAATAATGTTAAAGTATCTTTGCCTAAACCAAGAAATAACTTTCTTAATAGAAGTTTCTCTTATAGAGCAGCACAAAGGTGGAACGAATTATCGGATGAAGTAACTAATAACATTCAGGATTTATCTTTATCCGATTTCAAACGGCGTTTAACCCTTAAGCTTGCACATGAATAATGTATAATGCATTTCCGAAATTAATGGAGAGTGTAATAATTATGTGCTGTAATTAACTGTAATTGTTATATAGCTAGGGGAAAAGCCAATCCGTGATTGGTTGATTTGTGGTCACATGACCCTAATTAAATGCAATGTTTCCTTCAGGGCAATAAGTAAACAATTATTGCCCTCTCGAAAACAAAATGGCGGCTTTGAACTTGCAAGTTTATAAATGTTTTCTCAAGTTTATTTGAAGACTACAGAATCGAAAGAGACGAAAAATACATAGCAGGCAACTGGAAATGCTGTGGAAATACTTTTGGCAAGTTTTTAAATTTTACTTTGTATCGTTTTTATCACAAAATACAATTGTTGTATGAATATATATATTTTTTTATTTCGTCGCTATATAACAAAACACTTAATGTCTGTTCTCTCGGGAAATAGTTAGTTTTGTTTTCCCTCGAAACTCAATGTTTCCCTCGACTTCGTCTCGGGAAACATTGAGTCTCTCGGGAAAACAAAACTAACTATTTCCCTCGCGAGCAGACATTAAGTGTATAATATCCATAGTTAATGTGTGTTTAATACTATATAGCACGGCCCTTAGAAAAACAGACTGTATATATTTTTCTGAATAGACTACCGTGTTAAAAGAAATTTTATTAAAGATTAAAGATTATTAAAAGATAGACTTACTGCGATTTTTGCGATAGCGATGCTGCATTCCGCGACTATTGCGATAATTACGATTTAATGGAAACCAGGCCTAATTTGCATATAAAACTGAATAAATATAAGAAAGAAGTTCCCGGTAAAATGACAACCACAAATTTTCGTAGAACGTCTGCTGCACTATTTTTAAAGTCGTTTGAATTATATTTGACTACTACTGTATACCTCGCGGTAAAGATCGACAAATTATAATCCTGCGTTTAATAAATTGAATACTGCAGTGAGAAAATATAATGCATGTTATTATATAATAGACGGTGTTTTATTGGCGAATCCGCCATTATGCATGATAATCACACATGTGCGATTATCGTGTTTTGACTCACCAATCGAAAATCAGGATTAAGAGCCGTGGCGGGTAAAAGAGGTTCGTAGTATATAAAATAAACACAAAACTACATGAATGCTTGGAAATCGATGGAATTTATCTCTCGTGTTGAGAAGTTATCTCTCTCGTTCGCTGCGCTCACTCGTTCAATATCTTTCTCAACACTCCAAAAAAATTTCATTAATTTATTTTTTTGCGGTCCGGTATCGATGCTTTTTAGCAAATCAAATTGCTTCGTTTGCGGTCCGGCTTTTCAAGATACGGACCGCTCAACCGGACCGCTGCGGATTTTATTTGAAATTAAGTTTGAAATTAAGAAGCAAAAATATGTATAGCGATGACGAAAGCCACGGGAAAACAACGAAATTTGGAATGAAGGCGTGCTTTCAAACTCCAAAAACGAGGAAGAAAACAACGGTGCCACAAAAACTTGAGTTCGCGCCTTACTGAAAAGTTGAGTTCGAAGTTATACGGACAGAATTGTAAATTACATTATTAATAAAAGATAAACTCTCTGATAAAATTGTGGTTGTCGTTTTACCGGGAACTTCTTTCTTATATTTATTCAGTTTTATACGCAAGTTACATGTGTTCCCAATGGTCTAGCAAACAACGAATTCGATTAAATTTCCCCATTTCAGCGTTTTATCCCCATTTCAGCGTTTTATCCCTATTTCAGTTTCCGTTTACAGTTTCCGTTTCCGCGATTCAGATTCAGCGTTTTATCCCTACCCACCAGAACCAATGAACTTCAATGGCAATGCCGCAAACAACTGGAAGAGTTTTCATGGAGCATATGAAGATTATTTAATAGCAACAGACTTAGATCAGAAAGACAAGAAAGTTCAAGTGGCCACGTTGAAAAGTCTAATGGGAACTGAGTGCGAGAAGTAATATTTCAAATCCGACTATGAGGACTGGACTAGACTTCAAGTCCGCGCAATTTGATTACCTCCGAGGCGAAGCCGAGGACTGGATCAAAATGCGAGGACTTGAAATCTAGTGTGTTAATGACTTTGGCGGTATTACATTTTAGAGAGCCACAAACGAGAAAATTTCGATATATCTTGCATATAATCTGTAATAACTGTCCGTTCGTTATTATTTTTTCCTGTCTCAAGCTCGCTGGGTGAAATAAAAAAATTGTATATATCCACACGGGGTGGGCGGGTTAATCACTTTTTAATGACTCTGTAATATGCAAATATCGACCATAACAACGGCGTTGACCAGGATTTTAACTTGGGCTTAGCAACTGATTAGTTCTGTTTAAAAATTTTCATATGTATGTGTGGATTTTTATTATTCCAGGCTTAATAGTCGTAAACATGGTGAATACATCCCCAGGGAAAACAAAGGATGGTGTTAAAGTAGTGGACACTCTAAGATAATCTAATAAAACCTTGTAATACGATGAATTCAAATACACCTTTTATACTCTATTTCTATTGTCGTTTATGATTTTGGGCAATTTTGAATAATCTGGGATATTATCTGCAGAATGTCCACCGGCATCTTTGCAATGTCCTATAAGTCAGGAATTTTCGTAATACCCAATTCTCACTGCGTATGCGTACAATATCCACGTCCCACAAGCATTGCAACAACTTCAGTAGAATATACATCGAGAATGTGTTAAAATCCACTCTGTTTGTTAGAAGAGGAATACACGTGGGGATAAATATTAGCAAAGTATTAAACTGTAAAAATTTTCTTAAAATACTAGTAACATTGGCACACACTCTTTAAATATATTATGATATGATATATCCCGACAACGTAATGGGTGGAGCTATAATGCTCCACCCGTCGCAGAACCCCAATTTGTATACTACTTACATCACCTTCGGAAACAATTCTCTGGCATAGTTATGAGTAAAGGTTATGACTGGCCTTGGCCACACCGCTCTCCAGATCTAACTTTACGCGATTTTTTTCTTTGCGGCTATTTGAAACATAAAATGGGGAATGTACCACATGATCAGCAACCACTCAATTTGAGTATATGTTCATATTTAATAAGCCATTTGTAGCTAATTTCGTCAGTTCCAAAAATGTTTACACCTGTTTCAATGCATGTATTTTTGTCAAGATGGCATCGAAATGTGCATGCCATACACCAAAATTTAAGTTGGATATCGCTGAATGCCACTAAACTTGTTTTAGTGGCATTGCTCTTTTAGTTTTGCTTTTGCAGCAATTCAAACAGTGGTACTTTTTTTGCCCCACCTGGTATATATATATATGTATATATATATATATATATATATATATATATATATATATATATATATATATATATATATATATATATATATATATATATATATATGCAGTATATA